GCTCAGATATACGGTGTGTGGCCTGGAGAGCTGTATCAGTTGCCTGCCACTTCCTGCTACAGCAGCCACACGACTCGAGACTGCAATGCAATCAGGCGGATCATCTGCGCCGCCGTATGGGTCTCTGGCAACGAGGAGCCATCAAGGAACTAGTCGAGGAGTGTGCCTGCATTCAGGCTCATCTTCCCAGGCGCGTCCCTACGGCACTGGACCGCCCAGAGGAACTGGATGACGTCAAGTTCAGCAGGCTGGTGTTCTCGGGACGCATCCATTCAGCCATCAGGTATCTGGACCCGGCATCCTCTGGAAGGGTTCTGGGAATGGATGAAATTGGGAATCCGTCCACAGGTGCTATAGTTCGTGAGGTATTGCTGGAGAAGCACCCCATCGAGACTCAGCCTTCCGAAGATTTCCTCCTTCCTGGTGAGCCTGCCGAAGCCAACAACATCTTGTTCCAGAGAATCACACCGGAGCTGATTCGTAAATTAAGCCGGCGGATGCACGGATCGTCGGTCCCGTCCGGCCTGGATTCTGATGCATGGTGTAGAATGCTGACGTGTTTTAAGAAGGCTTCAGATACCCTCTACTCTGCATTGGCTGCTGCCGCACAATGTCTGTGCACGGTGACCGTGGAGCCGGAATCAATGTTGGGATTTACATCAGCTTGCCTGATTCCACTCGATAAACAACCAGGTGTGCGCCCAATCGCGGTCGGTGAGGTGCATAGGAGACTGATCTGCAGAGCTATTGCGAGGATCACGGAACACGACGTCCTCCGCGTAACTGCCCCCCCCCCCCCCCCCCGCCAGACATGTGTTGGTGTTCCATCAGCCTGCAAAGCCTCAGTTCACGCAATGACTTCCATGTTCGCTGGACCAAATACGGAAGAAGTGTTGTTGGTCGACGCATCAAATGCGTTCAACTCGCTGAATCGTCAGGCGGCACTCCATAACGTTCCCCGCATTTGCCCCGCTCTAGGCAAAGTGTTTGCCAACACCTACAGCTCGCCAATTCGCCTTTTCGTTGCTGGTGGCGGTGAGATATTGTCACAGGAAGGGACATGCCAAGGGGACCCATTGGCAATGGCAGTGTATGCTGTTGCCACAGCACCTCTGGTGAAGCACCTGGTAGCGGCTTGCCCGTCGGTCGTCCAGTCCTGGTATGCAGATGACGATGCGGCGGCGGATGGGCTCCTGCAGCTCCGACAGTATTGGGATACTCTGGAACAGGCTGGCCGCGGATATGGTTACCACGCCAATGCAGCCAAGACCATCCTCGTTACGAAGCCAGAGCACCTCGATCGAGCGAGAGAGGTGTTTGACGGTACCGGGGTGACTATATCAGCCGAAGGAGCCCGTTACTTGGGCAGTGTGCTGGGATCGGCCAGGTATACGGAAGAATGTATATCCGCAAAGTCGCGTTGCTGGGCACAGGAACTCAAGTCTCTGGCTGGACTGGCGAGGACCCAGCCACACGCGGCATACATGGTGGTAACCAAGGGTCTGGCTGGCCGGTGGCAATACCATCTCCGTGCCACGCAGCACAGCCTAAGGTACTTCAGGTACCTGGCCAGGTCATCGATTCGGAGCTTTCGCCAGCTCTCCTGGGCCATCAGTTTGACCCCAATAGCTCACAGCGGGAGCTTATGTCTCTGCCCACGAGATGTGGTGGTCTTGCTGTGCCGATTCTGCCTTCCCTGGCGCCTGTGGAGTATGCGGCCTCAACAAAGATCACTGAGCCGTCCGTGCGCCTTATTGTACCGCCGGATGCATTAACGCCTCCAGAAGAGGCGCCTGTTGCTCCATACCAGTCATCCACACAGCCTCTGACCGTTGCGGGCGCGGAACAGCCTCACAACGTCCGGGGCCATTCTCCCGGGTTGATTCTGTCGTCATCTCTACAAGACGATTTCCGCCTACATCCTGTACCACGGCCGGGGATCACTAGCCTGGATGACGCAGCCGGAGGCTCGGGCACCGATGTTATCCTTGATGCCATCGGGGCTGTTTGACAGCGGGCCCGTCAGTCACGTCAGCAGCGGCAAAAGAAACAGGAAGAAAGAGTGGCACAGTTGCGCCCCATGCTACCGCCGGCGCAACAGCTTTTGTTGGAAACGGCTGGTGAGAAGGGTGTTTCAAATTGGTTATCCTCCATGCCATCTTTCGTAACGCCCAGTTCAATCCTGAACAAATCGGATTTTCGTGATGCTGTTTGTATTCGATATGGTTTGTCATTGGAGGGAGTGTCCAGTTCCCGTATTTGTGGGCAAGACATGACAATAGATCATGCCATGAGTTGCCCGGCGGGTGGTTATCCAATTGCAAGACATAACGAGATCCAGGACATTCCGTCGGAAGCTATTCGGGAAATACTGCCAGATGTGGAGAAGGAGCCTCTTCTCAAGCCGTTCGAAGGAGAAACACTACCACATCGAACTGCGAACCGGTCTTTGGAGGCGCGTCTGGATATCAGGGCGCGGGGCTTCTGGACCCGGCAGCAGGATGCCTTTTTTGATGTACGGGTAACACACCCGAAGGCAAGCCTGCTGTCGCGTACAGACGTCCTGCGTCAGCTGAAGACCCATGAACAGGCCAAAAAGAGAGAATATTGTGCCCGTGTAAATATTGTAGAGAGAGCATCATTTACACCATTAGTTTTTTCAAATTCAGGCATGTGTGGGCCAGAGGGGTCTCGTTTTTTGAAAAAATTGGTATCGCTTGTTGTTGAGAAAAATCCTGAGTTACATTATTCTGTAGTCATGGGACAACTTCGATTTGTATTGTCGCTGTGTTTGCTCCGCTGGTGTTTTACTTGCATACGTGGTTCGCGGGCATCATACAAGCGCCAGCGCCACAGCTTTTTAACAAGCTGCCATACCCTTAGAGCATGTTGATGTGTACGGTGCCTTAGGCGCCGGTCACACATGCATGGCGCTTTTGCGACACCACCAAAGCTGCACCACAAAAGTTGGGATATCCCCGGATCACCATGGATACTGCGCCTGGCGCCACTGGCGCCACGGCGGCAATCTCAAAAGCGCCACAACCAAAAAATTGGTGGCGAAACACAAAAGCGGTAGTGCAACTTTTGCGGCGTTGTCGTTGTTGGATCTCTTGGATCTTGGAAAAATTAGTTTTTCATCTCTCGTCATGAAGTGGACTGCTGACCAAGAGCAACTGCTCCTCTCCCTCTATTTCGAGGTCAACCATCCGACATGGAACTCGACTCAGGCGTCCACCGATGCTCAAGGAGCTTCCGCAAGATTCAAACGAAGAGAAATTGAACAACATGAATATTGAGGCAATCTCCATAGCTCTCCGCAGTCGCTGGTCACGACGTAGTCGGCGATTCTGGGCGTTTCTGCGATCCATACCAGCGCAGGAAAGGAATTTTGAGGCTACAGTCTTTTTCAGAGAAAAGTTTTACGACACCTGTGGAGACCCGTGAAGCTGCGTGCGTACCAAAGCCTTTGCATGTGTGACCGCCGGCAGAAAAGAGCCGCAAAAGCGCCCACTGCCAGCGTGTTGGAGGCAGCCGCAAAAGCGGTGTCGCCGCCTGCATGTGTGACCGGCGCCTTAAGAGAGCATGTCTGAGAATACCAAAGTATGTGTGCAAATGGATCTCTCCGATTTCGCTCAAAATTTGCAGGTAGGTTCCCTTTGGGGTGTGGATCGATTGTGCAAAGCCCTTGAAAAAGTTCCTGAAGGGAACCTTGAAATTTGCATACCCCTCAAAAATGGCCGAAATATCACATTATTTATGGGTCTAGAAACGAGTCACGCCACAGCGTATACGAACAAGCTATGAACAAAACTTCATCAAGCCAACATTGCTTCACCTTAGAAGAGTTCCTGGAGCAGTACCGCTTAGCCACGCCAGCATCCCAGAAGACGAGGTCAATCACCCCCTGACGCCACAAATGATCGTCTTGAAAAAAGCCAATTTACAAGCGCTGTCAAAACAGCCAGCTACGTCCTCAATTGGCCAAAACTATACACCGGCAGATAGTAGAACACCTCTTCTAGCGCTGATGACATGTCCCCCATCTTCCTTTTGGGGTTTTCTTGAAATAAACGTTTTTGAATTTTTCCACTCGACCATGCTGAAATACGGCCAAAGTCATACCTGCGCAGGAAAGCTCGCCCCTCCGCGACGTCTCCTCAGCAATTTCTACTCCAACACTACTCCCAAGGCCGCAGAACAAAGTGTAGTGTTGACTCTGACAAGGAAAAGCAGCGGTGGTCACTTGTCACTCCAAACGACAAACTTCTCCTTGCGCCACCAATAATTTTTGTGCGACTGTTGATGCAAAAGTGACTGAAGGCCTGAGCGCAGTTTTTGAATTTTATTGCAAGATGCACGGTGAGATCGCGTGCTCTGTGACGTAGGATGACGCTTCCTGCACCACGATACGCGGCCATCGATCGCGAATGTGCCTGGAACGCTACTCGGAACAGATCATGATGGCAGACTCGGGTAAGATGAGCTTCATTTCCTGCTTGAACTGCTGAGAACCCCCACAAACTGTGCACTGCACTGGCAGTGTTTTCGATATACAGGGGGTAACTAATCCATTTATTTCTAATGGCCGGGTCTATCGCCCCCTACCCCCCCCCCCCCCCTCCGGGACTATCGACCCCTGCCAGTGTATTTAATACTGCCAAAGGCGTGTACGTTTTAGATGTATGTGTGCCTGCTGCCTTATGATAAGTTATCTCCCCCCCCCCCCCCTCCCCCTCCTCCAGGCAGAAGACATCCCCATGCCATGAGATGTGCGGATAATCGGCACTCCATTGTTATTTCTAGAGCACACCTATGGCTGGTCCATAGAGGGGTGACATCGTGCTCCACGAAACACCATTTCTTCGTATAACCAGTGTTAGGGTCTCGCCCCATGTCGCTGGTGATATGATATGCAGCCCTGCCATAAAAAAGAGCATCTCTTCAACAGAGCAAGAACCGCTGGCTTCACTCCATGCTAGTTAGCATGACTTTCCAACAGCACGCTTCTAAAAGTTGTTTTCCAAGACAAACAAAAGAACTCGAAACGGATTGAGGGAGATTGCTCTCAAGGGAACTAGTTACTTAGGGCTAGGAGGCCCTCAATTCGGCTCAAGCGCCAGTAACAATGTTATTATTGTGATGGGTGGTCTGTAGGACGGAAAATCGAAAGCTTTTGAAAAGGTAACGCACAATGTGACAAGAACTAGAAATGAGCTCGGTGAGAAAGAGCGATAAGTATGACTATTCGGAACATAATAATTATTATACATGTAGAAGCAGAACTGTGAAGCTTGTCCAGTCACATGCATATGCATGACACTGATGCATAGGACTGGATATGCTCTACAGTTGCATGCAATGAGAAATTTCAGTTTGCACTACATACATACAGCCTGGTTATATCGGGTAGGCTGACGTTGAAAACACACGTACAGGTACGCTAGGAAATGCATGTATAGTTGAAATGACGATTGGACCAAGGTGTAGCACATAATTGTAGGCACCGCGAGCATCGCTCGGAAGACAGTACTTTTCTCAGCATAATATTCGCGTCCACCTTCGCTTACACAACTACGTACACTCAAGCTTCTGGGGAAGTGAAGCAAAACAAAAAAATACTAGATTACATGATAGAAAAACGGAAACAAATCAGACCAGGGACGTAATAACCTCTGTTCACAAACATACCAGTATGCCAATGTGGCTTGCAAGCAGCGCGTGGGCATGCGGTTGCAATGCCATAACAATATCGTGCTGTGCTGCCAAGCTCGTCACCATACCAAGCGCAACAAGTCTCAGATGTACCGGCACATCGGGCCGTATTCGCGTAGAGATGCTGGCACAGAGCACTCGCAATGCACCTGGGCCGATCAGAATTGGCGAGGTTGCCGTTACACAATTCGCCCACACACGCGCTCGCTATGCTCTGCGGTGCATTCACCATTTGGTCTTGACCCTGTCTTCCTCGTCCATTAGCTGGTCACCGTTATTATCGAGTGGTGTCATCATGCTGCAAGCAGGGGATGCAGCCCTGGCGTTCAAGAATGGAAGAGCGCTCGTGGGCGTGGATGATTCTTGCAGCAGGTTGGGCTGTAGGGCTGCTGACGTCTTTCCTCGCCAATCCAGCTTCGTCTCCTTCAGCGGGGTAGCGTACCGATCCGATGAACCGTCTTTGGTCTTTCCGGTGCCGGCACCTCCTTTCGTGAACCGTTTGCCCAGCTGCCGCAGAGAGTCAACACTAATCGCGCTGCTCCTCCGTGGCTTCCCCGCGGACGGAATGGAGAAAGTTCCATCGTCCTGAGCCATGCAATACCCACCCTCGCTCTCCATTGAGGCGACATAACTGGCCGACTCAACGTTAGTGAGCGGGTTATCCGAGCGGTTGTAGGACATATTCAGATCCGACGCTACTAAATAGTCTTCGGGCGCTCCAGAACCCAGCTTGGTGACAACCACTGGGCCACAGTTTGAGTAAGACATTGCTGCGTTAGGCGTGAGCGACGCTGAGTTACTGGCTGGCAGAGTCGGCGCAACAGCTGACACATCAACATCAGCAGAGTAGTATTCGTCCGATTTGCTCGCAGCAGTCTGATCGGCTGAGAATCGATAATAATTGCCAATGCCGTCGTACACGGGGCTCTTGTCGTCCAGGTATTGGTAAGTCTCCTCCGCTTCCCTGGACGCCATACAGCTGCCCATGTCGGTGTACTGATCTTCCAGCGCTAGCACCGCCTCCTTGGCAGACATGAACGATACTGAGCTGGTCTTTGGCTCCAGCCTGGGCCGTGACGATGACGACGGCGACGACGACTGGTGCGACACGTGAACAGACTGGCATTCGGTGATGTTCAGCGTGAGCCGCGACTCGGCGCTTTCTCTGCGCAGCTTGCCCTTCCGCGACCGCAATACGAACAGCGCCAGGCCTAGAATGGCTAGGAGAAATCCAGCGCAGGCGCCCAGCACCAGCACGAAGATGCTGGAGGTGCTACTCGTAACAGCTAGGCACAGGAGGCACACAGGCAGAAACATACGGAAAGGAGCGAGATTAGCTGGGGAATGTGTTTCAAAATAGACTTCACTCAGTGTTTGGGCGAAGCGCCTACAGTTCAACATATGCCAGGCCACATAAAATCTTTATTCCACTGGCCATTCAACACAAAGCGATGGCGTAGTGGTCATCCCAGCAGTGACCATTCAACAATAACCTCGGAGTTTGAAACTCGCGCCACCTGCGAAACAGCTCATTTGGCGGGACACGGCCCTCACCCTCACTTTCCATGCCTTGCACATCAACAAGACATCAAGTATACCGGTATCGCATTGCAAACAAACCGTCACCTCAAAACCCTCAATAGCTGCGCCCTTGACGGGCTGAAGTGGAACAGCATTCTGCTCAGCGGTGACGTCCACACATACAGTACAGCCGGGCGCCCAGGAAAGCAGCGCCGAAGAACGACCGGGGTAGAGTTTCACCAAGCACAGCATACCAAAGTATACACGGTGACTCAACTGCGCACACTGTAATACTTGAGAATAAGAACGGTCTAGGCTACGAGGCTGACCCCCCCCCCCCCCAGTTTTTCGGCGAACGACAGTAATGTAGCCAGGTGTAAGTTCTTGTGTAAAAAAAGAAGTTATTCTCGGAACATTCGTGGACCCCAGGACTTGAGTGGGTTATTCTCAATGAGAGATATTGCAGCTCGAGATGGTGTTGTTTACAAACCTATGTGCACAGCTTTAGTGTACAGGTGCACAGAAGAGAAAATAAAGTTGTCCGTTGATCGCAACAACAACAACAACAACAACAACAACAACAACAACAACAACCAACAACAACAACAACAACAACAACAACAACAACAACAACAACAACAACAACAACAACAACAACAACAACAACAACAACAACAACAACAACAACAACAACAACAACAACAACAACAACAACAACAACAACAACAACAACAACAACAACAACAACAACAACAACAACAACAACAACAACAACAACAACAACAACAACAACAACAACAACGGCAACGGCAACAACGAAGACAACGACGACGACGACGACGACGACGACGACGACGACGACAACGACAACGACAACGACAACGACAACGACAACGACAACAACAACAACAACAACAACAACAACAACAACAACAACAACAACAACAACAACAACAACAACAACAACAACAACAACAACAACAACATATCTCTAATTGGCCACTGGCTATCATGAGAATTAAGATTTGAAACAACAACAACACCACCACCACCAACAACAACAACAAAAAACAGCAGCAGCAACAACAACAACGCGAAATCCGTTCTCGTACTCTTTTCAAATCCCAGATATCCCTGCTGTTGCGCAACTCTGTATGCTCATGTAGTGACCACCCCAGCCCATACACTTAAGTAGTCATTAATCCATACGCTCTGCGCACCCAATTATTATTATTATATTATTATTATTATTTATTCTTCTTTTACTAGGGAGTTCCCAACAGGCGTCAGCGCCTTTTTACAGGGAACCCTAGGTATAATTTGATGGATGAGCGAAATTCAGCTGGTGAACTAGACATGCGGCAAGCCGGTGGAAGTGTATTCCACCTGGCAGCGCCCAAATAAGAAATTGCACTAAAGCCATATCGGGTGTTAGCGGGGGGGCAGAACAAGAGCAGCAGAGACTTGGCCACGGGTGGTGGCTGCAGTGCGAGCACCATGGGCGCGCAAGGTAAAGCGGTCTCGCAGAAGAGGACTAGCAAGTCCATTCAGGCAGCGGTAAACAAATACATAGGTTTTGAAGTTGAGGCGTTTCTCAAGGGCGTACAAGTTAGTATGACTGTATAGAAGAGTGGTGGGAGTCATTCTATCCAACGAAAATATTCTCTTTAATGCCACACTCCTCTTCACTCTTTCTCCTGTCTTACACTATTATCTCTTATTGGCCACTGGCAATCGTGAGAATAAAGATTTGAAACAACAACAACAACAACAACAACAACAACAACAACAACAACAACAACAACAACAACAACAACAACAACAACAACAACAACAACAACAACAACAACAACAACAACAACAACAACAACAGCAGCAGCAGCAGCAGCAGCAGCAGCAGCAGCAGCAACAACAACAACAACAACAACAACAACAACAACAACAACAACAACAACAACAGCACGGGAGCATCAACAACAACACAGCTGCAGGAGCAGCAGCAGCAACAACACACCAGTAGCAGCAGCAGCAGCAATAGCGTAAGCAGTAGCAGCAGTAGCAGTAGCAACAGCAGCAGCTGAAGCAGCAACAATAGTGGCAGCAGTGGTTGCAGCAGCAACAACACTAACAGCAGGAGCAACAACAGCAACAGCAACAGGAGCTACAGCAGCATCAATAGCGACAGCAGCAACAGCAGCAGCAACAGCGGCAACACCAGCAGCAGCAGCAACAACAGCAGCAATAGCAGCAACAATAGCAGCAGCAGTTGCGGCAGCAGCAGCAACACCATCAGCAACAGCAGCAGCAGCAACAGCAGCAGCAGCAGCAACACCAATAGCTGCAGTAGTGGAAGCAGCTGCGACAACAGCAGCAGGACCAGGAGCTACAGCACCATCAACGGCAAAAACATCAACAGCAGTATCGATAGCGGCAACAGCAGCAGCAACAATAGCAGCAACAATAGCAGCAGCAACAGCAACCGCAGCAGCAACAATAGCAGCAGCAACAGCAACAGCAGCAGCAACAGCGGCAGCAGCAACAACAGCAACATCAGCAGCAGCAGCAACACAGCAGCAGCAATACAGCAACAGCAGCAGGACCCACAGCAGCAACAGGAACAGAACAGCAGCAACTGAGCAGTAGCTACAGCAGTAATACAGCAGTAGCAACGTCAACACAGCCAGCAAGACAGCATCAATAAATCCCCATCCAGTCCCTGGCTCCTTACCTGCAAAGGGCTGTGTGGTATACTTGGTAGTCGGATTGGGAGATAATGCCGATTCTGATGGTGTCTCTTGTTCTGAGTCATGACCCACAGCAGGCAGTGGGACATTGCCTGAATGTACAGGCACGGACTTGCCACCAGTAGTAACAGCCTTCGTTGGAGCAATGCGACTAGTTTGTTTCGGCACTCCAGGTACAGTTGCCTCTGGCACTGGCCTCTGCTCACCGCCATGCGCAGGCATGGTTGCTACTGTGGTGGGAGCATGTCCACTGCCGTGTTGAGGAATAGCGGCTGTCGGTGTTCGGCCGTAACCGCTGCCATGCCCTCCACCGTCACCACCGCCATGCACAGGCACCGGTTCCACCGTGGTGGGAGCATGTCCGCTGCCGTGTTGAGGAATAGCGGCGGTTGGCGTTCGGCCGTAACCGCTGCCATGCCCTCCACCGTCACCACCACCATGCACAGGCACGGCTGTCACCCGCGATGGACCATGTCCGCTGCCATGATCAAGCACTGTTGCAGCTGGCAGCGGGCCGTGTCCGCTGGCTCTCGGTTCGACAGTACTAGCTGGAGCTGACCGTGTGCGTTGGGCTGAAGTAACCGGCGGGCTGGACACGTGCAAACTTGAAGTAGTTGTGGGCGACGAAGTAGCAGTTGTCAGTGGAGTGGGTTTAGAGGACAGTGCCTCAGGACTCAGTGTGTGAACTTCATCTGGGGGAAGTGTTACGGCTTCAGTTGGTTGGAGAGTCAAGGTTTCAGTTGCATGATGATCGGCCTCTGTTGCCTGATGATCGGCCTCTGTTGCCTGATGATCGGCCTCTGTTGCATGATGATCGGCCTCTGTTGCATAATGATCAGCCTCTGTTGCATGATGATCGGCCTCTGTTGCATGATGATCAGCCTCTGTTGTATGGCGAATCACGTCTTTTGTAGCTGGAGTAAGCACTGTGGGCGTTGCGTTGGAACGGTGCGTCGACTTGATTGCATGCTTGGCTGGCGCCTCTGTTTCGTGCAGTTCAGTTGTCACGCCTTCGGGCTGCTCGCCTGGTTCGGTTGTGCTGTGCCCGAATCGCTCGCGAGTACCTTCCGATTCCGGGATGTGCGTCAGCGGTTGGGTCGTGCTGTCTCCGGGCTGCTGGGGAGTACCCTGGGGTTTGTCAGCGATGCCGTCCCCGGTTCTCTCTCCGGTTTGATGTAGTGGGCGGTCTGGGGTTCTTCCTATTGGTGGCCCATGTTCTGAAGTGTCAGCAGATCTATCAGTTGAGGTTGGAATGCCATCCACCATTCCAGCAGTGCTTTGGGCAGCAACATCGCCTGGAGTTGCATCCGACGGCTGAGCAGAACTTTTGCCGTCAACAAGGTTTGGATTTGCATCATCCAGTCCATGCTCTTCTTGAGATGCTGTCGGCACCGGTGTGGCGGGATCAGCAGGCGTGTCTGTTTGAAAACCGGGAATAGCGGGTGGGTCCGTGGGTTGCCCGGCCTCCTGGTGCGCCTTGGTGTGCGTTGGTACGCCTTGGGCGTCACCAAGGCTTGGATCTGTATGCTCTGGCTTACGTTCTTCAAAGGTTATCGGTGCCGGAGTGGGGTGGTCAGGAGCCGCTTGTGTTTGAAGACCAGGAGTTTCTCTCGGCTCCGTTGGTTGCCCGCCCTCGTGGTGCGGTGGATCATGAGATTGCTGCCCGGTGTGTCCTGCATCGGTGCTATCCTGAACCTCAGGTAGGATGGGGTGGGTTGTCTGTGTAACAAGCTCCGGCTCCGCAGTGCCTTGGGCGTCAACAAGGCTTGGATTTGCCTCCTCCGGTCCATGTTCTCCTTCAGACGCTTTCGGTACCGGCGTGGGGGGATCAGCAGGCGCGCCTGTTTGAAAACCAGGATTGGCGGGTGCGTCTGTTGGTTGCACGTCCCCATCACCTCTATTCGCAATCTTTTTAAAGGGGGATTCGATTCGATGCCATTTCCACCTAGCTCCGCCTGCATAAAAACCCAAAATACAGAAACAGGGAGAGAGACTCAGCGAAAGGAGAACCACCATGAATTGTCAACATCTGAATGACTGTTTTTAGACGGGGTTATGTTCCACGAGGTGTTTATTCTTTAGGAAGTACATGACTGTACTCCACTTTCCTACTAAACTGGTAATCCGTATACGCGCCGGGAACGGGCACCAATAACCTAACTGACCTGGCCAATGTACAGTGCATACTTCAAAGCGCAACATGGCGTAACTCATCTGTCCTTTGGCCAAATCGGACGATCTAAAGGTCTATCGGCATAAGAATTGTTTCAGCATCACATTCCTGGAAATAATCTTAGGCTGTAAAGCGTTAATGCTACAGATGTGACTGGAAATCCGCATTTTGGATTGCAACAAGCAGGACAAACAAACTTGAGTGGCAGATGCCGTTGGAGCGGCGAAAGTAGCATTCACAGTACTGGCCAGACAAATCCAACTTTAAGATTAAAAAAATTAATAGCGGTGGGCGATACGCACACTGGGCTGTGTGCTCGGACGCGGCGCTACTTTATTCATGAGGTTGGTTTTCACTGGCCAGCAGTGTACATTCGCCGTAGTAAGGAAGAGGACGCAAACCACTGTCCTTTGCCCGTGTGGCCACACAGTACAGGGTGCTGAGGGAAACCAGGCTTATTGCGGTGCGCTGGGTGCCCATGCCTGGAGCACCTTTCATGCCTTTCGCAATGCAAATGTCACTCACATGCCAGAAGAAAGACTACAGGCCATGCCTCGGTGTTTTCCCAAGTGACACGTCACATGTGTGATGGATTTGACAGGAAATTGGTCATGTGATCTGCGGTCACATGTGATGATCCAATCCTCGCACAAGCAATGGTTTGAGTAACCACCATGGTTATATCACAAGAAAGTAATAAAAACGGGAATGAACGTGGTTGGCCGCAGAGAGCAAGGGTGGTGGTGGCGAGGTGGACGCAGAACCATGGCTATAGCCAGAACAAAATAATGTGAAAGGGGGCGGGGATCATCGGACCCAAAATTTTGTCCCACCGTTCTGTGGCGCCATATTTCGCCGTTACTTTCACCAGCGTCAGAAAGCAACCGACCAACTATTATGTACATGTGCATGTACTTCCATTCCATGTATTAGTTTTATTCACCGGCTACTGTGACCCGCCATTGATATGGTTTTCAGAGGTACATGTAAGTACAGATAATGATGCAATGACTCATACACTGCTTTGCTACAATCATGATGTGTCCTCATCATGCATAATATAAAACGGTTGCCCTCACACTCTGAAAGGGGGCAGTCAATAAGTGAAGGAGGACGCAGCGCCCCGCTATGCCGCTTTGGCAAGAACGCTGACCAATGCTCATGTAAATCAATCATGTCACTTGCCTTCTCATTTGAGCCCACGCTTCCCCCTCCCTCCCCCTCCCAAAGTTTGCCAGCAGCTCACCCCCCCCCCCCCCCTCCCCCTACCCCTCCCCTACCCCCCCCCCCTACCCCAACCCTACTCCACCAGGTGCAAACACCCCTGAAAACTTATATCGTTCAGTGACATACCATCTAAACTTTCTACTTGGCAAGCCGCTAGAGACAATATGACCAGTGTGGAGACCAGCACTCTGGTATCCTGGGGAACGCAGAAAACAGAAGAACAACAAAACAAACAGACCGAAAAAGCAGTTCAGCAACCGGAGAGGATCAAAAGGCCACGGGAGTCCTGTGCTGCTGAAATGTGCGTATGCCTCAGGTGCGTTGGAAGGCACTTTAGTGCAGTACGGTCAGCCACCTGAAGTACAATTATTTACTCGTGTGTTGGGGGGGGGGGGGGGGGTGGCTGAGCCGATATTTTGGAAATTTAGAGCTCAGTTTAGTGTATTATAAAAATTAATGATTCACGGGGTACCCAAGGCAAAAAGTGGTACGCGCAATACCATAGTGACCGTACGGTGTCTGACGCCCCTGATGATCATTTCCAATCCCACACACTTGTATTGAAACACACAGAGATTCAAAAGGACTTTTGGAAAAATGACTCATTTGGCTATTGAACCGCCCAACGGCCGACACCCTCTGAAACACCCCCCCCCCCCCCCCCACACACACACACAAACACACGTCATGTACCTTTTACCATGTACCCCCGTCGCAAGAGAAGCACGCAAATCTGGAAATGCACTGGATGTACACCCACGGATTTTCTCTTATAGCGACGATAGCAGACAAGATCTGCATGAAACAGATCAAGACTAGCCCCAGATAACTGCGTAATCCACACGCGCACACACACACACACACACACACACACACACACACACACACACACACACACCTCAGATCTCAGACCTGCCCATCACGGAAGCGATGATAGCGAACAGTTATGTTAGACATAGCGACTTGTGCTGGGATTGCACCATTCAACAGCTTGCAAGGCTGATGAATTGACTGCCACTAGATTTAGCCTGGTATCCACCACACAGCTGATTGAAGTGACTTTTTCTGGCCAGTGAATCCCTATTTTTCATTTTTCCATTTTGTTCTTCTTTTCTTTTTCGACACACACACCACACCACATACTCTGGCATACACTGGCTGTTGGTAACCACCCAGGAGAATGAAAGAAAAGACACACACACACACACTCTCTCTTTCTCTCTCTCTCTCTCTCTCTCTCTCTCTCTCTCTCTCTCTCTCTCTCTTCGTAAAATGTCCAGGTTTCTCGAAAACCCTTGATGTTTGGTCGCATTGGCATTCATTTCATAGAGAACATGCCCAGACGTAACACTGCAGATTTGAGCTTGCCACTTATGGCAGGCGTCCGTGCAGCTAGTTCATCAGGGTGTGAGCTCCAACATGCCCCTTCCCCCTGAGATACATGTAGGCCCGGAACCAGCTTCAGAGGGGTGGTACGACCCCAGAATGGCTACTGACAGTGCCAATCATTTCCCCATGCCCAATTTCACTATCATGGAATTCACCTCTAATGGGGGGGGGGGGGGGGGCATCTCTAGCCGGCTGTGCTGTATCATATTCTGGTTGTTTCGAGCTGCACATTCCACATGCACAGTTACCACAGACCAGGCGCGTAGCACTGCCATTGGAGGTGGTCCGTCCGGAGGGGGGGATCTCCCCCGTAAAAAAATTGAAAACAGGGTGCAGAATCCTGCATTCTGGGCACTTTTGGCATTGTGTTAAAAAAAGGTGGCCCGGCCGGACCGGCTGCTACGCCCCTGCAGACTCATTCCCTCTCTCTCTCCCTCTGTCGTTCACATGTTGCAAAGGAGGCGAAACCGCCCGTTTGTGTTGCGACGTTTTAAAAATAGACTTCAACAACACCAACGGTTACTACGGTCAGTAGTCCTCCGACTGGTCATGAAAGCTGGACCTATAAATATGATTGGTAAACACCGCAGTGCGCGACCAGTGGCGTCGCCCTTGACATGCTGGCTGTGCTACTACGAATCGTGACGGACAACCGCAACACCACAGGGGCGAAGGGCAACTCCGTGTCCACGACATACATTATATGCACTCAGGAACCAGGGAAGTCGGATAATTACGACACAAGACTTCAGCGCTCTACCACTGTAAGCGTCATACCAGGCATTCGGAATCTAGACAGCGGAGAACTAACTTTACTTGCACGACGCACGTTCGACTCGTGCGTTCGACATTGGTTAGATTGTCAGTGCAACTTGATTGAAATCCGTTTGGATGGAAGAGATATCCCGAGCGTTTTTAGGTGTCTGATTTTGATGGGTGTGTTCGACTGTGAGCGCCCGTACACGCTCAGAAGTGTGTAGTCGAATAGCGCCAACACTCTACCTTCGGAGCTTCCCTTGAGGAAGCACACAGCTTGTAGCTCGGGTACGGATCAGTTCGATAACTCTTCGTTGGGTTCGTCAGGCCAACGAGAGTCGGACGTGACACAACCTGCATTCCCTCACCAGCGCTCAAACACACGGATTTACTTACCATGCTGAAATGAAGGGCTCAGATCCGCCAAAGATCAGGTGATTACTGATATCTTCGACAGCTGCGCTGACATTCCACGTTGGTCGACTACTAAGAGACCTTCTAGATCGATCGACACAGCGACCCTCAGTTCTGCAGATTTTTCTCCTACCTGTTACTTCAGCGCTCCAATGCAAGGAACCAAACCTACAATAATGAGTCAGGAATTGTTGGAAGCTTGATGCGACACACCTTCGCGTGTTTTCTATGCCCAATGGACTGGATCAGCTATTCAGAGGAAATGATGGGAGGAACTGGAATACAAAAACCTAAAGGATATCAAAATAGTCATCTGCCAAGTTTGTTTTCGGATTTTCTCTCTCGTTGCTTTTTCGAGTAGAACATATCTGCATACGAGCTTGCCCTGGAACTCTACTTCTAGCATGCACATCACCTTTGCGGGGACCTGCGTCTTCCATCACGATCGTCGCCACGCTTACGAGGTGCCTTTTTCGGAAGACTTCACCTTTTAATCGTGTACTCCACTGCTTTCCACAGTGAAACTACAATACATGTTACTGGAGAGGTTGCCCATATGGCCATATCGACTTTTCCAGCGTTCGACGGATCAGGCAACAACGAAAAAGGCGATGTTTTTGTTGTACGCGCATGCGCTGCGTCCATGGGATGCCAACTTTGGCAAGCCTGGTGTGATGACATGTACTTGACCTTTGACCTTTCAGCGAAGAGTTTTTTACTCGGATAAGGATTGTGTTATTATTGTTATTACATTGTTATTGCATCATCATCTCGTGGCAAGCAATATATATTAATGCCAATATTGAATGAGAGAGGGGTGATAGCCAACCAAGGCCAAATCAACAAAAGAAAAGTAGTACACATACATGTATAAGAAAGGAGAAAGAAAGAAGATAACTCAAAAGATACGAATTACACAGTGGCCCAGAACAAGTGAATACCTAGCGAAGTAAAGACAGCAAAAGTGGAAAGTCTTTGGCAAGTCTTGAGGTCCTGTGACAGCAACGACCAATGTGTATAATAAATTATGCCAAAAATAGAGGGGACCTCAAAAGAGTGGCTGTGTGAGAGATAGGGAAGCAGAGAGAGTTTCGGGTAGCTGAGGACTGATGAAACCAGTTAAAGGGGAAGTTAAGGCAAAAATTAAAATTTCACCAGTTGTAGTCTTCGGGGTGCTGAGTCGAATGGTCTTGGTCCGAGAAAGCTGAGACGCTCCCTTCCTACTTGAATCCCAATCGAACTCGCGCACTTCCACCGAAACTGGGTGACTGCGCCCTACTAGATGGGGATTTGTATGCAATATGTCACTAAAAGTGCCATTTTGTTCTTATAAAAGCACGGATGACCACGATTGGCCCATATGTTGTAGTCTTTTGGACGCTGAGTCGACTGGTTTTGGTCCGAAAAGGCTGCGATGCAGCGTTCCTCCTTTATTCCCAATCGAACATGGTTGAACAAGTGGTCACGTGCTCCTGGGTGCCCAAATCACCTGGTCACCACGCCAGCAGGCGACAACTTTCACACCAAGGTTCAACTCGAGTTCAACTCGAGTGACAGGACTGCACCCAAAAAAGGTCAAACAGGCTAGTAAGTGCGCGAGTTCGATTGGGATTCAAGTAGGAAGGGAGCGTCTCAGCTTCCTCGGACCTAGACCATTCGACTCAGCACCTCGAAGACTACAACTGGTGAAATTTTAATTTTTGCCTTAACTTCCCCTTTAAGCTGGGATAAAACATGGGGTGGGGCAAGACCAAGACGAATTTTATGAATTAGTTTAATAATAATAATAATAACTTTATTAGGATGACCCAAAGTTTACAATGAAAGTCTGAGCCTGTTAGAGAGAGGGCAGCTGGATGCGATAGCATAGACCGTATGAGAGCGCACGGTGTTCAACCTCACTCGCTTCAACAGCATCAGTGCACTACAAAAACGTAACCATTTTACTCCCACTTGCAGCTCGGTATCAGCTCAGACTTTTTGTTCTTATTTTCCGTTCACTAAAATAATGATCTCGCAAGCCCCCTATACTCTCTAGTTGTTTTTCGTTGCGCAGTGCATCGTCACATACAAACTCCTGTACACGCTCTCAAGTTTCTGCAGCCCTTGTATTGCTCTTCCCCCTGCTTCAAATCGGTATGGTCTTTTTCTCTTAGTTTTCTAGGCTCAGATCGTTGGTACTCTCTACCTGCTGACATTCGCCTATGCACATCTGTTTCTCGCTTTCGTATCCTTGTATTGGCACATTTGGGGTACCCTGTAAGAAGGCCTTATAGGCCTGTGGGGATTGCTCTATCAAAAATTTAATAATAATAAATAATAAAGAGGGCGTCAAACGGGGAATAACAAAGACAGCGCGAATTAAGCGACGATGTGTGACTTCGAGACGATTCGTGAGCGATGTGCTGAAGCCAGGCTTGCCAGCCCAAATGGAGGAACAGTAGTCAAATACAGGCAGAACATAGCATTTATACAGCATTAAACGGCAATCAAGGGAGAAATGAGATAAGTGAGAGGAGAGGAAGCTAACAATAGAACTTGCACGTTTCCCCAGGTACGTAATGTGGGGATCAAAGGACAGATGCTGATCCAGGATAATCCCAAGGTGTTTGTGCTGATCGACTATTGAGAGACAGGTACGGTCATCAGGGAACGTGAAAGGCGAGGGACTTAATGCAGACAAGTCACTATTGGGACGAGGAGGAAAGCAGAGAATAGCGGTTTAGATGCGTTTGGCTTCAGCTTCTAGAGCGTCATCCAATTGACAACTTTGTTGATGTGGGTCTGCAATGTGACAGATGCAGCTGAAAGTGAAGAGGAGGAAACATGCAGTGCTGTATCATCAAATCAAAGCTCCTCGAGTCGTGGTCTTATTGACATCACGATTATGCAAACTGCTCCATGCATGGCAGGGCAGAAACCTACATTTTTTCCTACATTTTCATCGGCACATATCGCTGGAAATGGTGGATTATGACGTGTTAAAAATCCACCATTTCCAGCGATGTGCCGATGAAAATATAGTGGACCGTGCTCAAATAATGGACCATGCCCAAATAAGAGACCGGGGGTCCAACCCTCTTCAAAAAACAAAAGAACGGGTCTATTAATCGAGGAAATACGGTATTATCACTCCCTTAGTATTGACTCGCATAGATTTTTGCCATACCTAAGCAGTCAAATATTCCTGCTTATACCTCACTCCATAATTATACACCCACACTCATATACCAGATCTCCCATGAAGTTTATAAATTTCCATATACACTGTTCAATATACACCACTAAGGAGGTATATACACCACTAAGGAGGTATATACACCACTGAGGAAAACCATCAGAAAAAAACTCACTGAGGAGCTTTCTTTCTCTAAAAAGGAGTGTATATAGCTTTCTTTCTCTAAAGCTATATTCACTCCTTTTTGCTCTTGAGCTTGCGCATGGAGAGGTATAAATATATTATAACAAGGGACCTCGTGTATATCGAGAAATATCGACCAGTCATAAAAACCTCGGCTTCGCCTCGGTTTTTATACTGGTCTATATTTCTCGATATACACTCGGTCCCTTGTTATAATATATACATGTACATATTTGACTCCTTAGGGCTATATTGACCGCTTATATTTGACTCCTTTTTAGCGATTGAACACATGCTTTGGTTAGTCGTGATAAATCTAATATTGACTTCGTACTTGGTCAGTATAGGAAATACAAAAACCTCGTAAAAAAACTCGGCTTCGCCTCGGTCTTTTATTTCCTATTGACCTCGTACTCAGTCAATATTAGATACTTATTATTGTTATGCTTGTTCGCGTTGACATCACCAAGCAAGCTTAGCTAGTCTTCGCATACGCCAAGTGAACAAAGGAAATGAGGAATGAGCGAGGCCAATGAGGTGAACACACGCGTACATGTACACAACACACGAAAATTAATGTCAACTGCTTGCTTCGACAATCCGCGATATTCATGTTAAAACAAAATGGCGTCACGATTTATTGAAAGTGGTATAGTTGGTGGTACGATTACGAGTGTTCAAAACCATTTGAACTTCATACTGTTCGTCTTCTTTTTGACATGCTCTCTTTCCATCGTCCTTAGCTTTTGTTTGTTGTGAGCTGTTTTGGCTTTCTCCTGTACCTCTGGGGGATGCCAAGTGATGGTTTTGAGAGGCTGGTGATGGCTGTGAGCGAGAGTTTGCCGATCGGCGTCGTCCTCGCTATAGCGATGAAAATACTAGTTACTGCGCACCTGGCAGATATCACAACACGTCGGAGCGTCCAGGAGCAAAGGAATCTTGGGTTTTCACTGGAATCTAGTTCCTCCAGCATCGTGTAGCCCACCGTCGGTGAATGGCGGTCCAGAAAGGTCGAACCTGGTCTTCTGCAGCATCTCGCAGTCCTCGAGGCACAACGTGTACGCCTGCCATGTATTGTACAAATAAAACTCATGCAGTAGTGGACTCTACAGTGATGAGTCTCAGCCTGTACGCTGCAAAAGACACAGGAAATGTGACTGGTGTCTGTACACTCAGTGACTGGACGCCAACACCCCAGTTTTCTCCTGCGGGATCTGTTTGACATTGACATTATGCGGTAGGTCGGCATTGTCGGCATTGACCTGGTTTGGCAGCTATCGTATCTGCCTGGTTGGATGTAGCAGGTTGGCGTTTGCTCGTCGTCCAGTCCGGAATTTTCTTGTAACTCACGGTGGAGTACGCGCAGGGTTTGTGATCATCCCTGTGCACTTCAATATTATCAAACACAACGTTCCCTTTGTCACTCATCTTATCCTGAGTACTGAATTTGCTGACAATATTGCACCACACTTGTCACAACCTACCGCCACTGCTGGCGGTGGCGATTGGTTCGTCAATGGCGGTGACCAGGCTGACTGACTAGCTTCGAGACAGCGGCCTCGTTGTCAACCCCGCGGCAGCCTAAAGGTTGATTTTATCGATCCAGCCTCAGCGCCATGTTGACGATGCCCTAGTGACTGTGTGTCATGAATTGCCTTGCCATCAGCGGTCATTGCCATCCACCTTGGTGCAGCCCTCAACAACTGGCTCAGCCCATGGGAGTCTCAAGTGGACAAAGTTGTTGCCAAAGTAGCTCAGAAGATTGGTGCATCGTGATGTAGGTGAGCACATAACTAGGACTTCCCAGCGCCTATATGTCCAGGCTGCGATACTATGTGACATGCTGTACTGCACATTCTTTTCAGCACTGCAAGGCCGGCAGCTGGACCGACTGCAGGGGCCGCGCACATGCAGGCCGCCTGTTGCCAGTGCAGCATTCTGGAACATTCCTTCCTTCTGAGATCCGTGGAATAA